CGATCGATCATTTTTCATGCGGGGTAGCGATTTAGATTCGTTCGATTTCATGGAGTTTTGTTAAACATTGAAGACCTTAGAGAGGGCAACCATTGTGGTCTAGGGCTTAGCTAGTGGTAGTCTATAATCCAGGTTTAGGGGCTTTTGAGGTTCTTGGAAGGTGGCATCAAGGCTTCTGATTTACAAAGCCAAGGTGCTAAAAGTTATGTGATAGTTTTAGGTCAAAAGCGGACCCATTTTAATATTATATTATTATTTTGCCTAAAATTTAGGGTTTGGATTAAATAAGGTGGTCAATGAGTGATTAGGATGCTAATCTAGGTTGGGGGCTCTAACCTAACTTTTAGGACTAATTTAAAAGGTGGTTTGGGTACGTTAGGCGAATTAGGCAAGCTTAAAGGGTAGGTTATTCGAAGGTAGTAAGTTTACCTATATGGCTTTGGCTAATTACACATAATTGTGTTTAGGCTACATAATTAGGATTTTCCTAATTGTTGGGACTTCTATAGGATTCTTAGATTGTTCTTGTGGTGCATCAAGTATGGAATTGTGGTGCATTATGGTGTATTACACTAGTACGGTCCCTAGTGCAATTTAGGTTGGAAATGGGTTGTTTGGTTGGGGAGAAAGCCAGGTTTGGATCCGAGATAGGTCTGGTAAGGTTCTAGATCTAAACCCTCCTATTTGGGGTTGTGGGTGTTCAAGAAGTTCACATAGCCAGAGTTGGAGTATCTACACATAGATCCTCAACTATGATCTCTCTCTCTCAATGCATATGTACACGAGTACATATACTTAAGATGGCAATAAGGGTTCAATGTATTCACGCTCTCTCTCTCTGTAGAGATCCTTTTCTGGCTTTGGGAATTCCAAGAACATGAAAAACCTGGAAATTATAACGGCCCAACCTAGAGCCTCATAGGGCTATGTCAAGCCGAAACCCCAAAATTGGCCAAATAAAAAACCCATTTTCCAGCCACACTGCACCTGTGCACCCTAGTACACCCTACTCCACACACCATACCCCCTCCTCTTGCACCATAGCCCATTAAAACCCCACTTCATTTAATGCCAAACTGAACAAGTTCAACTCTTAAGTCACCTAGATAACCTTGAACTTACCAAAACAAGTTTAGAACAAGCCTAAACCTTCCTAATTAGACCTAAGACATTGATAAGCTTGCCAAATTGGGATCAAACTTATCTATAACTAGGCTCAAAGAAACCCTCATACCTTCTCAATTTGACCCAAACCTGCCCCACAACCTAGGTCAAACCCTAATCAGCCTTTGACACCTCCTAAAACCGTAATTTTGTCCTACTTCCCTTTTATTGACTGTCCCCTTAATAGCCATTTACCACCTTAAAAAGCCCCAAACCCCCACATCTTAAGGGCTATAAATGCTCCAAAGGGTGTGTGTGGACTGGTGGTAGGGAACCAACACGCTTTGTGGCATGCAGGATTCTGTGAGTTGACTAGCTCGCACGTGTACTGATCTTGCATGCATGAGACTTGGGTTACTTGGCAGACAGTGGATGGCCTAGATTTACTGCCACTTTTTGGATGCAAATAAGTTGCTTAAAATATATCCTAATGTTTATTTGTGCATTTGTGTGCGCGTGTGTTTTTGAGACAGAGGGGGCAAGGATACCCCTCGTATTGTTTTTTTTTTTTCGCAGATCTTTTTTTTTGAGGGGAGGGGGTGTTTAGGGATTGGAAAGCAATTAAGAAATTAAAGAAATAGAAAGTGAACCCCAACCTTTAAAATTTAGTTAGAAAGTGAACCCTAACCTTTAAAATTTTCCCCATATTTTAAAAAAGGTGTGGTTTGCATAAGGTTGCAACTTTAAACAATCTAAAGCGCACCACTAAATTTTATCTTTAGATGTAATTTTGATGTAAAAAATTATTAGGATTGCCTTAAAATCTATTTTTAACTTTATTTATAAAATTTTAAACTCTAAAAATAGTTCAAATCAAGTAGATCTATAGACACATGAAAAATCTTGAAAATGGGCAGCTCAGATAATGTGTTGCACCATTTCGTGGACTCGAAATCTTTTATTCTTTTTATATTCACACATCTCGATATTGAGGGTTTTCCAACATCCAAACAACTTTTTATGATGGATTTTGGAGGCGCACCTTTAGTTCTACATTTTAAGGTTACAACTTTATATAAACTTTTTCAGTCTAAAAAAGCTATTGTTTATTTTAAGAAAAATTACAAATACTCCTAAATTGGACTTTCTAGACAACCTCCTCCAACCAAATTTTTATTGCAACTTTTACCTCAAAACAACTTTTATAGCAAATACTACTCCAAGTCAAAAAGTCGTAGTTCTTTGGAATAAAATGCCTTCCTCTTGATCGCTGAGTGCCATCGATTTGACACTTATAAATGTAGTCCAGCAAATTATTGCTTCGGTCCGGCACTTGTAAATGCGGTTAAGCATATTGTTGGTGCGGTCCAACAGTTTTGCCAGTACAGCGCTATGATGCCTCGGTCCAGCTTAAGTTTCATGCGGTCCTGCAGATTGTTGTTGTGGTTCAGCAATTAATGTGGAATGGGTTCCGGTCCGACAGTAATATGTGTTGGACTGTTTTTGGTGATTGAGTATATATGGGAATGTGGCACCGTCATGTATGGGCAATGATATCTTTGTTCTTCAAACTACTAACTTTAATCTTAAAAGTTAGTTTTAAGATAAAAGTTGCCATATAAAAATTGGTTGAGGGAGGTTGTAAAGAAAGTTGAATAAAAGGGTAGTTTTTGTAATTTTTCCTTTGTTTTATCCTATCAAACCTTTATGAGAATTAAAAAAAAATAAAATAAAAAATAAAAAAAAGACATTGAGAGAGAAACAAGAAAGACAAAATAAAATAAAAAATAAAAAAAATAAAATAAAAATAAAAGAAAGATATTGAGAGAGAGGGAATGAGAGGATAACCTTTACATACTTGGGTGTTTCTACCTATAGAAGAGGGCATATAGTGTGCTCCCGTGGAAGCATACTGCTCATCTACTCCCTCAGGTAAAAGAGCCTAAGCAGATCTTTCTATATGAAGTTTTTGGATCCACTAAGAATCATCATATGATTGTTTAAATTTTTTAGTTTTTAAACACTTGGTCTAACTATCAATAAAATGGACGACCTCTATTCAATCTTAGGATGCTCCTTTTTTTAGGCATACACAATGAGATTTTTTTTATCAGTAGGTTGCAAAAGTTACATCCCAAAAATTTAGGTTGCTGGAATTCTTCTAGATAGGGCTTAACATTAGGAAGTGACTAAAGCAAATGCTTCTCGACGATTACATAATCTTTTATTGTTTATCCTATCAAATACTTATTTTAAAAAAAATACTTTTTAAAAGGAAAGGAGGAAAGGAAAGGGAAGATATTTTGTTGGAGAGAACAAATTTCGGGAGAGAGGGTGTGGTTTGTATAGAACAGAGGCTCTAAACAATCAAAGTAAATCGGTCTTTCAAATCGTGTCGAGTAATGTGGTCTCAATATTGGAAATCTTTGTGATAGCCTTAAAATATAGTTTTATCTTTAATTATAAAATTTAAAACTTTAAAAATAATATAGATCGAGCAGATCTTTGAAAACTTGAAAATCTTGAAAATTGATTGTACAAAAATAAGTTACAAGATGCATTTTTTTCTCATGTCCATGCATCTTGATGTCAAGAGATCAATTTAAGAATATTTGGGGCATCAAAACATCCTCTTCTAATGAAATTTTTGAAGTGGGCTCTAATTCTTTGGAGAATATGAGAGTGCCTGACCGTGAATTAATATTAGGGGAATTTATGAAATGAATTATTTGATATTTTGCTTGAATGTTTTAATTGAATTTGAAAAAGGTCATCTGATTAAAATATTTCATAGTAATTCAAAAAGCCAAGAGTGATCGTAACCTCTTTGTACTAAATTCCGATAATCTCATCATATATTTTTCCGCGTGCATATGGATAAGCTCATTTGACAAAAGTACCTTAGGAGCAAAGTCTATTATAAGTTTGTATTATTCTTCTAGAATTTATAAAAGTTAGGCATGTTTGGATTTCTTTTCAAAGCAAAAGCCAGTATTATTCAATATTTCTTTTGAATGGATATAGATTTTCCAAGAAAAACATTGTGATTGGACAATAACCTAGGGTAGGGCCGCTGTTTATGAATAGTTTACGGGTCAATGGTTTTAGAAGCAAATTTAGGAAAGACTAATCATAGCCTAAGCTTATGGCCAAGTGCTTTACTCAATCTTTAGCCTCCTCCCTACCCTACCTTAACCCCACTTTACTCTCTCCCTGTGAATGGCCGCGGTTAGGGCCGGGTTAACTTTGCATGGCCTTGTGCTCCTAGAGGGTCAGGCCGAGCTAAAAGTAAGTGAAACAAAATAAAAGAAAAACAAGAAAAAATAATCGGGGTAGACTGAACTAGAACAGCATTGGCCCTAATTCAATTCTCAAGTTACAGTTTATGGTCCAAACCTTATTTTTTTAGGGCTAAGCCAGACGGGATCAGACAGGCCCCGCAGCTTGAGCCCTAATTTTTTTGAATGGTTCTCTCCTCCCTCTGTCATTATCATTAATATTAATATTGTTATTATTTATTAATATTGTTATTATTTATTTATTTATTGTTCTTAATCTTAAGATGGCTGGCTTGTATTTTCAAAAGAGCGAGGCATCCAAGGTAGGGGCTGTGTGTATTATCCCCTGGTAGGGGCTGGGTATGTTATGATTCATGTCATCTTAGAAAGCTATAGTCATGAATCATATGGCATTTCACCATCCAATCAGTTATTGAACGTTGATTATTGAGATGTGGGGACCAGGTGAATATGACATGATCGAGTGGTGGTTCATGTTCTTCACCATTCAATCAGTTATTGAACTTTGATTGCCAAAGTGTGGGTCTAGGTGAATATGACATGATCAAAGTGGTGGTTCACTCTCTCTCTGTCACCATTCATCAATTTTTTAGACGGTGATAACACTTGTGACCTAAGCTTTTCTCTGATTACCATTTCCTCTGTGGATTTACTACTAGAGTTGCTCTTCATTTTAAACTGGCTTTCACTTTCACTCTCTCTCCTCTCTCTCTTTGTCTCTCTCATCTCTTTCTCTCTCTCTCTCTCTAAGCTATCATTACCAGGTAAATCACTGCTATAGTCTCTCTCGCTCTCTCTCTAAGACTGTAACCGGACTCCCTCTCTACCTCTCTCGAACTACCTGCTTCACCCCTTCATAAATGGCGGAAACATTAGTTGAAACCCTGATTTTCCTCTACATAGAAATAGGGTACCCAGTTATCCATTTCTCCTGATCTGGTCTGTAGAATCAATTTCATCGAAGGAAAACTAAATCCCAACGTAGTTTTGAAGTTTGAACTCCTACAACCCCAAGAAAATGGAGTTCATACCCCAAACTAACGGTTTATTTCTCATTTTCCTCTTTTTCTCTGTGATTTTCCTCTCTATTTCATCTCTATATGTAACTTCTTCTGAAGAAATCCCCAGCTCAATCGACCATCAAGATCAACATGCTACTCAGCTACAAAGACTCGAAACCCTAATCCAAAGCCTCAATGAAACCATTAGCAGGCTTGAGATATCCGTCCTTGAGTGCTCAAGGAACAAAGCCAAGTTGTTGAAACCCGAAGGCAATGAAGAAAGAAGTCTTGAAAGACTCAAAACAGGTATTGTGGTCACCAAGAACAAGCCCTCATGGTCTGAAAAGTTTGAATTTTTATCTGCAATCAAGCTTGAGCACGAACCCACTTGCATAAATGTCCTTCCTTTTGATGATTACCAGGGATTCAGTAAATATGTAGCCGTGGGGGATGAGCTAGGGAGAGTTTACGTGTTTTTGAGTAATGGTGATGTTTTAATGGAATTCCAAACACTGTCTAATTCATCTGTTACTTCCATGTTATCGTACATGTCTTTTAATAAGAATGAAAGTTTACTAGTTACTGGGCATAGTGATGGGTCTATACTGGTTCATAGAGTTTGGGAAGCCATCAATGGAGTCCCGTTTACAGCTGAGGACTTGCATTTTATCAGAATTGCGCATCTGGGTACTCTTGTTTTGGCAATAAAAAATGACCCTTTTGATGCGTTAGAAAGAATTTCAGTTTTGGAGGTGCACCAGATTGGTAGAATGAGATATATACTGGGTTGTGATCTTAGAGGGAAGATAAAAGTTTTTAGAGAGAATGGTTCTTTATATGGGGTTGCTATGGCACCTAGTAGACCTATTGCTTTTATAAGACAAAGGCTTTTGTTCTTAACTGAGACTGGATCTGGGTCTCTAGACTTGAGAACCATGACAATTAGGACTGGTGAGTGTGATGGCTTGAATCGGTCACTTGCAAAAACTTACGTTTTTGATGCGTCGGAGAGATCTAAAGCTTATGGGTTCACTTCAGAAGGGGATTTGATTCATGTTGTTCTTTTGGGTGATATTCTTAATTTCAAATGCATGGTCAAGGCTAGAAGGAAATTTGAGCTTGGGGGCATTTTAGAGGTGCAGGTAATAAAAGGTTTCCTTTTGGTGGTTAATGAAGAGAAGGTCTTTGTGTATAATGCATCTTCAAGGTATCATGTTCGGGCTGGTAGCCTGAGGCCCCTTTTCTATGCAAAAATTGATGAGATTTTGTCAGAATTCGCGACTGCACCCTCATTGCCTGGAGGTGATAGAAGGCCTCTGGTTGCTTCTAACCGAGAAAGGCTTCTCGTTTTAGGGCTTGGAAGTGGGTATATTGCGATGTATCGTTCCAATCTTCCTATTTACAAAGCCGAATATGATGCCATGCTTTGGAGTACCCCAGTTTTGCTTTTCATTTTATTTCTTATTGGTTTGTGGCATTTCTTTGGGAAGAAGAAAGAGGCATTTGCCTTGTGGAGTTCCGATGATGCTTTTGGTGTGGGAGGAGGTTCATTGGGGTTAGGAGGTAGGAGCTTTGGGGATTCTTCAAGGCCTGGTTTAAGGGAATTGAGAGACCCCATTGGGGGGCCATCATTGAGGTATAAGTCACCTTCTCAGTATCCTGTGAGCCAGCCTGGCTATGGTGATCGAGGTTCTGTTCCTTATATTTCTGGTTCCACCGAACCCAACTTCAGAACTGGTGGTGAATTGAACTTCAGGTCCCAGAACCTTGATGCTACGGCCTTCTCCAAGAGAAGAGAGTCTCTGGCACAGCACACAAAAGAGTTATAGAAAATACTATGCTTGTATACTTTACATTTTGCATGTTAAAATTTGTGCCCAAGGGGCCCATTGAAATTATGAAGTATGGGTTAATGTTGGGAGTTTTGTAGGTCTGAGGTAATTGGTAACTTTTAGGATATGAATGATTTGGAAATGAATTAAATTTGATGCAATTCTGATGGATAGTTGTTGGTTATTTGTGCAATATTTGTGCTTAATATGTCATCATCGTTTATTTTTTCTACTTCCTTCATGGTTCTTGGTTTATGACGGATTGGCTTTTTCAACTTTTTTGGCCTTCATGAATTTGGTCTGAAATATGGAGCAATTTTTGCTTATAAGGTGACCTTGTCTTTGTTTCATTCATTTTCTTTTTGATGGTTCATTCGTTTATTAAAGTTGTCTTCACTATGTGGAGATTATGCAGAAAGTATAGAAGATGCCACCGATTAGGGTTTCCAATAGGCTGGAACAGATCTGATAACCACAAGAAAAGGAGACAAGAAAGAAGACATAAAATGGATTTAACTAGCATTTGGTTTAGAAAGCATTAGGTAATCTCTGTTTAGTGCAAGGACATGCATGTTGAAAACCATAAGTTTTCAATGTGTTTTTTATTGTTCTTAGCTATTCTGGAGGATTACCTTTTTTCAACCAGTTGGCCTCAGTGAATTTGGTTATGATAGATCTATTTTTGCATATAATGTGACTGGACCTTGATTCATTCTTCCTTTTTTTATTTTGATAAATTTGAGATGGTTCGTTTATTTACTAAAAGCATCTTCATCATCTAGCTTCCCGCTTATGGTTGGGAACACTTCCATTCCTGGTTGATTATACATAGAGATTATGCAGAAAGTATAATGGCGAAGGTGACTGATGGTTACTGCTTCCAATAAACCAAGACCAGAGCCGACAACACAAGAAAAGAAGATGAGAAACAACACAATTTAAATGGATTTAAATTAATGCATTGGAAATGTTTGGTGAAATTTTTAGAAAAAGACATAGTTTGTAGTGGTTGAGATGCTATTAGGGAAGTTTGTAGTGCTTGAGATGCTATTAGGGAAGTTTGTAGTGCTTGAGATGCTATTAGGGACGATTGGATTGGTGGAGTCAGTCATGCAACTACTTTGACTTTTCCCTGATTTAATTTTCGTCTTGTTCGGATGGCCCCTCGTCATCTTTCTATATTCACTTGACCCTATTGAGATCTTGTACTCTTTCATCAGCTTGTTACCAATGACCTCTCAAAAGGAAAAAAGGGCAAAAATAGAGTGGTATAAGGAAGAACCTATATTCACAACTTTGCATTTCATTTATAAATTATTTGTCTTTATATTTTTAGTTAGGCATACAGACCATTTCTAAATAACCCATCATTGCTTATTTTAGGTTTTGAAACTACTTGTCTGCCATCAAAGTTTGTTCCAAATATAATATTGGTGTTCTAGAGATGGCGATTCTAATAATCTTCGGATATTGTTATATCTCTTGAACTCTTGGAGCTGGATATTTCGAACATTCTTCTATTCTTCACGAGGGTAAAAGAGAAACGAGCAATGATGAATGTGTTTCACCACTGAACAATATTGCTTGTGAATGCCAAAATTAAGAAATGGTCGCTGAAGACACTTGGAGAACCTGCCATTTGCAACTATATATTGGCAAGCATGCAACTTATGGGTTTCTTTGAATTAAAAGAGAAAAAAAAAAAAAAACCTATGCAACTTATGGCAGATGCATTGTTGACATGAAACCCTAGAAATGTTGACTCCTTATATTCAAATGGTGTATTTCCTTCCTGCAATACATGGACTGCTCTTCCTCCAAAAAAAATACATGCATTGCTCTAACATTAGGAGTAACCCATGTTATGATCTGTTTCTTGTAACATGGCATGTGTAGATCATAGTTTGAGGAATCGGATTTACTGTTATTTGAAGAATTCCTCGAAACAATAACTGATGTCTATTCTTACTGCATAACTGTAGAAACCTTCATTGATGCAGTCTCTTACTTTGTTCAGTCATTTAGATGCTGATTGAGCTCATGACTGTGGTGATAGAAAGTGCACTTTCCCAATATCAACAAGCTTTTTGGAAAAGAGTTCGCTGTTCTGAACAATTAAGAAACAGAAGATTAAGATCAATATAAAGGTAATATGAATTGATTGCTAAATATTCTTGTTAATGTAACTTTTAATGTTACATATAGTTTATATTTATTTGTTAGTTATTATTAGGTCCTTTTGGAAGTGCAGACTCTAAGAACATTGAAAATCTAGCAATGTTGGGATTGAGGGTTTTACCTATAATCGATAAAGGGTTCTAGAGCAAAGACTGGCTCCAATGGTGGTCCACGGTGGTGCCCTCAATCTTCATCAGAAGTAGCTAAACCACCAGTCTTCTTGCAAAGCAACAGCAACACGGCTTAGCATGATTAATAATGCTCTTATTCATAGTAACTTATTGGCATTCACATTTTATGTAATTTTTTGACACTAGAGGAGCTAAAAGAAAAGTGAGGACGAAGTGATGATGAAGCTTTTGCTCCAGTAGACTTCATATTAACAATTGTAAAAAAGGGCGGAACGAAAATGTAATGTTTTGAAAGGGAGTTACTGTAACCATTCATCACACACACACAACTTGCTTATGAACCTTCGACTTGTAGCCTCAGAAAACTTAAATAACTTGCTTATGAGCCTTAGACTTGTAGCCTCAGGAAAGTTAAATCTTATTCTCCTCGATTTGTTTTTTTAATTTGCGTGGAAATTGTATAGAAGACTTCCATTCTGTGCATTTTCCTTATAAGTTATGTAGAAATTGTATCAAAAGCTTTCATTTCTTTATTCAGATTGGCTAACAATTTGTAAATTGCCTCTGCCTCTGTATGTGTTCTATCTCCAGCAGTGAAAATGTGCTCTCTGTTCCTCACATAAATCCAACTGCACCCTGCACTTTTGACCACGTCTCTCTCTTTCATCTTCCTCCTTATCCTTCCCATCTCACCCCATTTCCCCTCTGCCGCGTAAACATTGGCCAACTGAACATATCTTGCCCCATTCTGTGGATCTACCCTTAAAAGTTCCTCCTCCAGCTCTTTAGCTAATTTGGAGTCTGCATTCCTCTTACAAGCTTCAATTAGAGCCCCCATAACAATTGGGTCTAACCCATTGGATCCTTTACTCTTTCTAACTAGCAAAACTGCCTGCTCTAATTGATTCGCTCGCCCCAAAAGGTCAATCATGCTTGCATAGTGGCTAGATTCTGGTGTTATGGTATAGCCTTGAACCATTGAATTAAAGTATTTTTGCCCAGAATTCAGTAATCCTGCATGCCTACAAGCAGAGAGGAGTGCAATAAATGTGACACCATTTGGCTGGATTCCAATATTTTCCATCTCTTGAAAGAGCTGGATAGCTTCCATTTCGCGTCCATGATGTCCAAGTCCTGCGATCATGGCATTGTACAGAGGCACATCTCTAATGGGTAACTGCTGGAAAACCTCTTTGGCATACCCAATTTGGCCCGATTTTGCATACATATCGATTAGCTCAGTGCCCAATTTCTCTTCGATCTCTATTCCATTTCTTATTATATAAGCATGGATTTGCTTGCCCTTTTCTAAATTTGCTTGCATTGCACAAGCAGATAGCACTGAGATCAGCATTAGTTGATCTGGGGTGGTTTTTTCACTCTGCAAAAAGTCCCAAAAAAAGTTGAGGGAAGCTTTAGATTGTTGGATTTTTACATATCCTGAGATCATAGCTGTCCACGAAGCAATATTTTGGTTGGTTAGAGAATAAAAAATTCGGCGAGCTTTGTCTAATTTGCCTGTTTGCGCGTAGCCCATGATCAATGAAGTGGAAGCAAATCCATTTTCTGGACAAATTCTGGTGTATATGAGCTCTGCTTGTTGTAATCTGAAGCATTTACAGTACATATCAACCAGGCTGTTGCTTATGAATGAGTTCATTTCATAGCCATTTTTAAGGACCCAACCATGGGTTTCTCTCCCATGTTTCAAGGCCTTTAGACTTGCACAGGCACTGAGAACATTGGCTAAACTATGGGCATTGAGCTTGACTCCTTCTTGTACCATTTTGGCAAAGAGTTCCAGAGATGTTTCTCCATGGCCATTTTGAAAGTACCCAGTAATGACAGTGTTCCATGTTACAGTATCGTGGTGAGCCATGCTTGAGAAAAAATTGAAACCCATGTCTAATTCTCCCTCATGAAAATAAGCAGCGAGCATAACATTGGAGCTCATGAGTTCTCTCTTACTAGTTTGTCTCTCAGTGGCTGATGAGTTTTCTCTCTCTTTATCCTCATCGAAAGCTTTGATCATTGGTCTTGCGCTAGTTTCTCTCTCTACGGCGTGTAGAAAGTTTTCACTGTATCCATGATCGTCGAAAGCTCTTCTTGCTTCCTCCAAACCGGAGCACTTCGCATACATATGGATGAGAGAGCTCTTCGAGAACCCATCTTTGCCAATATTCCGTGTCTTTATCATACAAGAATGGACTTGTACTCCATAGCATAAAACCACTAAATTTGCAGCTAAATTGAGCATGGTAGTGAAGCTGAACTCATCCATATGAACACCATCTTTGTGCATTCTTTTAAACATATTAAGAGCTTCTGTTGAGAAGCCATTGTGAGAATAACCAGATAAAAGAGAATTGTAAGTTACAGTGTCTCTTTCAGGGGCCAAATCAAAGAGAAATTGGGCATCCAATAGATTGGTGTTCTTGATGTAGCCATTGATCATGGTGTTCCATGAGAAAACATTTTTTTGTGGCATTTCATTGAACAATTGGCGAGCTTCGCCGATGTAAGTGTTCTTAAAGTACACTTCTATGAGCTGGTTATAGGTGAAAATCGTTGTGGGGAGGCTGGTTTTTATGATGTGGGTGTGGAGCTTGAGACATTCTAGTAAATGTCTTTTCATGTATTTGTGTTGGGGTGGTGGAGAATTTTAAGGAAGAAGCATGTGATGATAATTCATGCAGTGGAGGAGAAAAAGCAGGGAGCAACAAAATCAATGGGTTGAGGAAAACAATAAAGGATTCATGTGATGGATCATAACCATGGAGCTTTATGGCTATGCGCTGATAGTCTTTTAGCAGAGAGAGACAGAGAAAGTCCTACGCTGCTATCAATCCTTAGGTGAGAGAAAGAGAGAGAGAATCCTATGCTGCTATCAATCCTCAGGTAATCGAGAGAGAGTGTCTTATGCTTGCGACGAACATGGAATCCAGAGAGATGGAATCATGATCATGGGCATTTATATTAGGGCATATATGGTATGCGTGAAGATACTTTCGCAAAAGTATTTTCATAATCCTAGAGTTTTTTTCACCCCAATTGGTCTTAGAGCATGTTTTTCAGAGATGGAATCATGATCATGGGCTTTTATAATGGGCATATATGGTGCGCGTGAAGATCCATTCATAAAAGCATTAGAATTCACCCATCTACTTAATCGTAGCGTTTCTTTCACACCAATCGGTCTAAGAGCACTTTTTCTCACCAATTGACAACCAATTAATTTGAAAAAACTCCTGTACTTAATTATATTAAGGATTTTTTTCACATGAAAATACTTTCACAAAATTTTTTTTACATCTTTGTGAAAAATTTCTCTAACACTCTAAATCATTGCGTACTTATAGAAGTTAAAATAATATGTACATGAGAACGATGTGCTTATGTGAGAAAAGCTTTCTCTTTTTATTTTTTCCTTTTCAATGGAAGGGAATTAGTGGCTACAACATAGTTTCAATCTCTAGAGTGGTACCCACTCTTCTTTTTCTTTTTCATGAAGGCACTTAATGGTTCCCAATACAGTAAGCATTGTCTATTTAGAAGCTATACAGAAAATCTGCCTTTAAATTTTTCATGAGAATGACTTAGCAGCATGCTGTGTATTAAAAAAGTTGGTCAGCAATGTAACTGTAAGCATTGCAAAGTGAACACGCCTTTCTCATTTTCCAACTTCTCCACACCTACTAAACCACTCAAAAAGGCGACAACTCTCTCTCTCTACAAAACTTTTCCCAAAAAAGCGAAGTAAGAGAGAAACAGAGAGAGGCTCCTTGCTGTATTTACATGATACAAAAAGAAAAATGCAGAGAAATCAAACTATCACTTAAATGGTTGAACAGTCATTGAAACCATTGTAGTATTAGAATGGTTGGTATATAAGACTAATTTCACTTAGATATATTCTCATAATCATTGTTAGAAAATTCCCAAGTTGGCTATGTTCTCATTAGGAAACAAGCAATTAGGCCCTTCTTAAATGCCTCAAATGATGTAAATACCCATATTTTGTCAGGGTTAAGAATGAAAGCACACATCTTTTTGTATTAAGTGCCTCAAATGATGTAAATACCAGTGTTTGTCTCAAATTACGGGTGGCATCCCTCTCACGGGTTTTTTTTTTCTAATCTAAGTTACCTCTGTCTTGTAATTCGAACACCGGATATGTAGAGTTTATATAAATACTGGACGGCTATATGCTATTTCCAAAAACTGCAAGCCCTCTCTCTTCAAACATCATGACCCAGTAAACTTTTAAATAATCTCTCTTACGCTCTCTCTTCCCCCAAACCATCTACCTCTTTCTCAACCTCTCGCTCTCTCATGCTCTCTCCCCACAGTCAAGGAGATGACCGGAAACCAAAAAACCAAATTCCCATTTCTCTGAGCTAACAAAGGAGAGCCATGAAAAAGCCCCACAAGAATACTTGGGTTGCTTAGACGGAAGGAGTAATAGAGGAACAGGGCCAACAATGGCTTGATTCAACTGGGTTGTAAAGCGATAGTCAAAGAGCATGGGAGACATTGAAATTATTCCCTTCGTCAATCTTTCTAGCTCTGCTAATCAAGAACGACAAACGCCTACTCCATGGATGGACCCCTAGAGGACGTGCATACTGCTGCGAAACAGAAACTTAATAATCAGTGTAACACAAGAAATGCCCAACCATGGAATTACGAAAGCTTTGCTGTAATAAATGCAACCAGGAGGAGTATTTCGATGTTTGAGAAATTTTAGTTTAAATTTTAGCTCTAGTCATGACGCACTTACCACAACCTCATTGAATGGATGGTCTGTAGTTGTGAGTGCAAAAGCCCAAACCGAGAGAGAAAGAGTTCAAAACTCACTTCAAAGAAAAGCAGGAAACAAGAGAGAATCCAAAACCCAATTCCGAGAAAAGCATGAAAGAGAGTCCAATCCTTACTACCCATTTTCTCTCTCGACCAGAAGTTCTCCGATCTCTTGCCCCAAGCCCCATTTGCAAATTTCTCAAGCTTTAATTGAGACCCATCTTACTGGTTCTTTAGCTTCCGATCTTTCTCTCTTTAACTTTATCACAGACAGATAGAGTTGTTCAGTATTTTGAATACCGGACAACAAATGTTAAAAACCTTAAGGACGGAAAGTTGTCTGGTATTTCGAACATCAGACAGCTGTTTTTTTTTGTACGATATAAACTTCATTTGTCCAGTGTTTGAATTACCGGATAGAGATAACTTGGAAAAAAAAAAATCCCCGTGAGAGGGAGTGCCACCCGTAATTTAATATCATATGTAAATTTTTCAATTCATGTTGTGTTTGAGGATATACTTAGAGAGAGGATTCCCACATGGAAAAAGTTTATTTTGTATTCTCAAACACATGAGTCCACCCTCCTTTTTCGTGGAATAGGATTTAAAATATATTCTAAGTTACTCCCATTTCATTCCCCTTTTGATCCACGAATTTGTAACTCATGATATCCAAAAAGAAAATTGAACAATTAAAAAAAAATTAAATTAGCCTATTTTGAAGGTTTAGGACTATTTTTTTTTAGATTTAAGTGACATTTTCCTCAGCAGTGTAGAGGCAAATGCGTGTGGCACATGAGGGCCCTTTATCAGCGTTAGTTGGGTAAAATGGCCATATTTTGTATAATTATATTATATAAGAGAAATGATTCTATAGGATCTTTCTTCATCCATGTGTGTAGGACCTTAAAGGATCAACCATTAAGTTTGGTATGGATCTATAGAAAAATCAAGTCTTACATTTATGGGATAACTTTTTTAAATATCCGTATCAACTTTAATGGTGATCCTTTGAGGTCTTACATACATAATGAAAGAGGGTCTTATAGGATCATTACTCATTATATAATATCGAAAGTTTGCCTAATCAAAGAGAGAGGAAAGGAGGGAGAGGTGATACTCTTTGCCCTTGATTGCCATAAATTTTGACAAGGGATTCTAGTTTTGATATTAATTTGAAAATTACATAAAATATGACTCAAATTAGTCACAGTTTTTAATAACTATCTAAAATAATAAATTTTTTTTTCCAAATATTGACATAAGAGCAGGTTGGGAGTAGAACTTGGTCTAGCCTGCTAAGCTAACAGGCCTTCGATGCATGTCCGGGCAAGCCTGGCCGGCTGTATGAAGGGGCTTGGACACGGCCCATCGGTGGCTGGGCCTTCAATGCCTACCAGGGCCGATGCCGCTCCTTTTCACAATTTTAAACTAAAATCATTGTATAATTAGGGACTGTCGACCTAATGTCAGGGCTCCGGTTAAGGTGGCAGGCGTTGAATCATGACCCGCGCTCTATAAAAGGCCCAGATCTCGACTTTGGATATTCAGGGCCCGCCGACAGCACCACGGGCCATTAGAGAGAGCTTTGGCCTTTGGGCTGTTGTGATGGGGCATGATGATATATCCTTGCAAATTATAGGGGTATATTGGTTCTTTCAGAATTTTTGGTGTGTTGTGCCATTTCTCAAATAAAGAGGGAATTATTTGGTCATATTCTTCGATGCGTTTACTGCCCTTTATTTCGTATAGACCCGACCACAATTGGCGTATTGAACGCGAAGCAACCCCCGTTCTTTGCACCACTTTTTGCAGATTTTTAGACTCTGAAATTTCTTGACTAAACTTGGACAAGATTCCTCCTAATTTACACAGAGAGAGAGAGAGAGAGAGAGAGAGAGAGAGAGAGAGAGTACTCTATTAGTAGAGTAGAGAGAGTAGTTAGTAGTGAGTAGTAGAGAGTACGTACTACACAAGAAGAGAGAGAGAGAGAGAGAGAGAGAGAGAGAGTAGTT